TGATCGAAAAACAAAGTACAACCGTTTTATAGCCATGGTCCCTCAGCTATAACATGACCCCAACTTTGGGAGAAAACAGAGCACACATTAATATAGATAGTGCTCATAGATGAATGCCATGTAGATTCATGATGTGAACGAAATTCACCTTCCATAGACATAACCGCAAATGACGAAAATTCTGACATGTGGCCTTTAATTTGAATTTTGTACTATGATGACCTCATTAAATGAAACTTAGTGAAAAGTGATCTTGTAGAGAATTGCCTTATCTACAACATATCGACATTTCAAAGAGAATCGATGAATATTGAGAGAAATACACTACATTTTCCATAAATACAATGACGTCATAATATGCAATTTTGTATTTTTGACTTCCAAGGCCATTATGATGCCGTCAAGATGTACTTAATGGCCAAATGAGATATGAAATCATACCTCCGACTCATACTCTATCTAAATATGAAAAAAATTGGCAATCCCTATTCATCCCAATGGACTTTTCATAGGCATGTTTTTGCCCATATATGCAATGTATTACAAAATCGCGCGTACGGACGGTTATCTTGAACGGACGCTCATTCCGTTTTTAATAGTGATAAAGAGCTAAACATGGTATCAAATTTTCCGGAAAAATATGAGGAATATTCGGTCAAGAGCTTTTGCGGAGAAATTATTTTTCGTTCGGCCGTGACGAACGAAAACGTGCAAAAAATGCGTGTTTTGCGTGATTTTTATGAAATGCTTAAAATGGCCTGAAACGTATGCAAAAAAAATTTAAGACGATTTTGAGCAATTTAAAATTTATACGCGCGCATTGACGCGCGCGCGCTACGCGTACGCGCATTTTTGCGCGCATTTTTTGACCTCATATTGATCCGACGGATATTGATCTTAATCTTGATAAATATGAATGAAAAATTCTTTACGTTATGGAGATATGATCATAAGTTGATTTTCACAAAATGGCGCCTGGATGACGTCACGATAATTTTGAGTCTTTGAAAAGTCACGCAGTTCTAAGTTTGACTAACATCTATCATCATTGAAAGATTCATGACAATGGCTTTATTCAGTCTTGAGATATCCTGCGAACAAATTCGAGGAAGAATAATAAATTAAAAAAAAAAAAAAAAAAAATCTTGACGAAATCAATAGGTGATACGTTGACTTCGTTACGTATCACCTAATGATACGTATACTTTGTACGCATCACCTAATGATTCCTTCAAAATTTGCAATTTCAACTTTCGATTGAAATTTCGATATGATCCCAACATCTGATCGAAAAACAAAGTACACCCGTTTTTTTATAGCCCATGGTCTCAGCTATAACATACCCCAATTTGGGAGAAACAGAGCACACATAATATAGATAGTGCTCATAGATGAATGCCATGTAGATTCATGATGTGAACGAAATTCACCTTCCATAGACATAACACGCAAATGACGAAAATTCTGACATGTGGCCTTTAATTGAATTTTGTACTATGATGACCTCATTAAAATGAAACTTAGTGAAAAGTGATCTTGTAGAGAATTGCCTTATCTACAACATATCGACATTTCAAAGAGAATCGATGAATATTGAGAGAAATACACTACATTTTCCATAAATACAATGACGTCATAATATGCAATTTTGTATTTTTGACTTCCAAGGCCATTATGATGCCGTCAAGATGTACTTAATGGCCAAATGAGATATGAAATCATACCTCCGACTCATACTCTATCTAAATATGAAAAAAAATTGGCAATCCCTATTCATCCCAATGGACTTTTCATAGGCATGTTTTTGCCCATATATGCAATGTATTACAAAAATCGCGCGTACGGACGGTTATCTTGAACGGACGCTCATTCCGTTTTTAATAGTGATAAAGAGCTAAACATGGTATCAAATTTTCCGGAAAAATATGAGGAATATTCGGTCAAGAGCTTTTGCGGAGAAATTATTTTTCGTTCGGCCGTGACGAACGAAAACGTGCAAAAATGCGTGTTTTGCGTGATTTTTTATGAAATGCTTAAAATGGCCTGAAACGTATGCAAAAAAAATTTAAGACGATTTTGAGCAATTTAAATTTTACGCGCGCATTGACGCGCGCGCCTACGCGTACGCGCATTTTTGCGCGCATTTATTGACCTCATATTGATCCGACGGATATTGATCTTAATCTTGATAAATATGAATGAAAAATTTCTTTACGTTATGGAGATATGATCATAAGTTGATTTTCACAAATGGCGCCTGGATGACGTCACGATAATTTTGAGTCTTTGAAAAG